TTGTTAGTAAAATTAAAAACTTTTATATGTAAAGAAAAATACGTATTTTACTAATTATAATTAGTAAAAAATTTAAGTGTTGCATTATTTTTGATTGCCACTGTATAATATAAAAAGTATTATAACTTAAAAATAAATAATTTTAACAAAAATCTCTTATAAATTTATTAATTTTTATCTAAGTTATAATTTTATTAAAATAAATTTTTTGTTAATTATAATTTTAAAAAGTCATAATACTTTAAATTTTATTTGTGATTGAAAATTTGATATTTATTATATAAAAATAAATATTTATATATTTTTTTAATTATTTCTAATTGGTTATTTTAATTAATATGTATAAAATTTATAATAAAAATTAATATTTTAATATAATATTAAATATTTTATACTATCTCTTACTGTATAATAAATTCTTATTAAACTTTAAATATAAATAATTAAAGATTTATTCTATTATATATAAAAAATTAATATAAATTATTAATATAATTTTTGAAAATTATTTTATTAAAATTTACAAATATTATTTGAATTTAAATCATATTTTTATTAATTTTTTAATATAATTTTTTTAAATTTTAAATATAAATACTTAAAGAAATTTATTTTATTATTTATAAAAAACTGAATATATAATTTATTAAGAATCATTCTTTTAAAATTTACTAATATATAATTTATATTTTAATAAATTTAATATATATATTTTTTAAAATATATTCATATATTATTACATATAAAAATTATTAGTAATTTAATTAAGAAAAATTTAGATTTTATTAATTAAAAATACTAAATAAAAGATTTAATCTGAAAAATTAATAATTTTGAAGTTTTTAATTAAATATTTATATTAATAACTTATTAATTATTTTTTATAAAAGAAACTTTAACTTGAAAATCTTTAATATGCAAAAAAGTTACTAAAAAATATTTTTTACTAGTGATTTAAAAATTTTTTAAGAATATTTTAAAGAATATTCTAAAAATTTGATCTCTAGAATTTATTAATATAATCTATAAAGATAATTTTCAGTTTATTTATAAAAAATAATAATAATAATTTATATATAATTAATAATTTATTTTCTTTTTTATTAATACTTATTATAAACTATTAAATAATGATATAATATCTTGTTTCTCAAGAAATTTATTTTCAACTGGAAATTCTTGTAATATCAATATGATTTTAATGGATTTTATGTTAAAATGTGTCACACTATATTCCAATTTTGGGACAAAATTACTGTCCAAAAAATTCAATTGGGGCACAACATATTACATCTGATTTTAAACGTTTTTAAAAAGAGTCCTCTTTTTTTCGAGGAATCTTACCAATTTCAGAAAAGTCTCTTTCAAAAATGGAATTCTTAGGTGAAACAGAAAAAGATAAACACAAAGAGATGATTAGAAAACGGCTAATCCCATTACGGCAGTTCCCACGCGAAAACCCTCTCTTTTGAATCAAACCTTCCTGAGACCAAAGGAGAGGTCACCAGAAAAACGTGTCCGCTCACATAAAGTAAAAATTGCTGCGGACGATAACATTATCATTAGTATATTTGACCGTATATATTATCACCTTTCTACTACATAAAAAATTATAGTAATATGTCGTCGTCGATAACTCCATCAGTTCCGTCAGCCACCACCACCACTGCTACTGAACCCTTTTCAGGTCGTTCGCTTACACCGCTTGAACCTCAACATGCAATTCCATCTTATTTAACAACTCAAAGACGTGGCTCAATCACCGACCCCTCCCTCCATTTGTCCGTTCCAAATCCAGAATTAGCAAGAAAATACTCACAACCAGATGTTAATTTTCAAAACTCAAATTCTTCAGAGCGACGCGGATCTTTTGTAGACAACTTTCCGCCTTCGCCATCGTCGTCATTTTCACGCCCTTCTTCTGTAAAAAGTGAACAATCGTTATCGCCTATGGAGACGCGTAAATTAAGAGACACTTTACCTTCAATTAGTGCAGGAGCAAGCCCTATAAAAGACGGTTTTCCAGGACCCTTAATGAATCCTGCGTTTCAAGCTCAAATACAGCAAAGAAGGCATTCTATTGCAGTTGGTGAGACCTTTACACCATTAAAGCGAAAACCTTCTTTGAATACACCTGCAAATCCTATTCATCCTCTAAGCCCCGAAGAATATCCCGGTAAACGAAGGGAGTCATATTCGGATCTTACTATTCAACGATTATCACTTTATGACCGTAGAAATTCTTATTCTGCTCCATCAAGTCCTCCTGCACCACCACAAAATTCTCTCGCCTCTCAAAGCAGTTCTTTACCAAAGCTTAATATTAATGAAGTAGAAACAAGCCTACAAGAACATGTAAATACATGTGGTATTAATCAATATGCGGACATTGTAATATCCGACCTTCATACTTCATCCAATATTTCATCATCTCATATTAGTGGCGGAGGCAGTGAACCCGGAGATACATTTTCACCATTTAACCCTCGTGTTTCTCAGCTTGTACAAGATGACATTAACACTCCAGTCATCACTCGACGTGCTTCAATGCCTGTAATGACTTTTCCCTCGCGATTCAATGAAACAGTGGGACCACAAGATCCAGCATCTATTCCAATGGACGTAGATCGTTATCGGGGACAATCTGGCTATACATCTCATAATCATTACCATCACCCATATCCCTATGATTATCCTGGCTATATTCAACCGAATACCCCGGTAAAAGAAACTCCATATTCTCGTTCACCCGAATTAAGAATTTCTCATAAATTAGCGGAAAGAAAAAGGAGAAAAGAGATGAAGGAATTATTTGATGAGTTGCGAGATTCACTTCCAGTTGATAAGAGTTTAAAGACAAGTAAATGGGAAATACTTAGTAAAGGTTAATATTACTTTACTACTATTATAGTATATCAATTTATTTTATATAGCAAATTAATTGATAAATAATTTTGATTTAGCTGTCGATTTTATTAATACACTAAAACAAAACCAAGAGGAGATTTCTAAGGAAGTTGAATCATTACGCCAAGAATTGGCAGCACTGAAAGGTGGAAGGTAAGATAGTAAATCGAATCAAACACATCCTATACGTTTCATCAATTTATAATAACATAAAATTAACATTTTTCTGTGCTATTTTTATAAATAGTGATAATACAAATGCTTCAACATCGTAATAATAATGAAAAAAATGGACTCTATTCTTAATTGGCTGACCTATCGAGTATTTTTTTGACATACAAAGTGAGCCGGTTAATTAAATTGTATTTTTATTTAAAAAACTTTGGGAATCAATACCTTTATAAATAAATTAGAACAGATTTTCATATTTTCTAAATACTTATATTATTATCATTAAGTTCAGAATTTTGGATTCATACTTCGCAGGAGGAAATTAAAGAATGACGCGGAAATTTTTGGTAATTTATACATTATATATAGTAAGATGATTAATTTTTCTGTAAAGTATCATTGGACAATCATGCATCAATCAGATTTATTCGTTTATTATAAACTTTTGAGAGAATAAATGTTTAAGTTAACGTTAACAAATATTCAAATCACATGTAATATATCTTTTTACGTGTCATAGGCAGCGTTGAACTCCTGTCTTTGTATCTGAATAAAATTCACAATCTTTTAATGTTAGTTTTTTATGGAAATATAATTAATATTAAATTTTTTGTTTTATAGTGCGCACATAAATCACATGACTGCGCACATTTTCCCAAGTCTCAAATCATGCATCGTTCCGTCAATAATGTTTCATGATGAATATAAAAAATATTTTTAAGAAATATATCGCAATTATGGATAGAATTTTTTAATAGAGTGCTCATTTTAAACAAGTATAATAAAAAAAGGATAGCGATAATTACTCAGTTATCTAAAATCTATATATAACACAGATACATAATTGGAAAGATGTGAAGCCAACTCGCATGAAACAATAGAGATGATCAATAGTATTGTGAAACTGATCTCTATCTTACCTGCTTTGTCACTACATCTTCATTGGCTGTGGTTGGGATTGTGCTTTGGTGAGTTCAGCTCTATAGAATCAAAAAGAAAATATGGGATAAATCGCTGCATTTTCTTTGTTATTATTGTACTATTGTTATTATACAATATTATTGTTTGAAAGATGTTAAATGAACCTTAATTGCGTCGAGAAGTCATCCTCCACATCTTCATCATCCCAATTATCTTCCCATAATTGTGTTTCTTTATCATCTTCAGTTTCATTCCAATCTGCATAATAATATTAATAAGAGAAATAAAAAAATGTATAGTTATGTAATTCTGTTTAATAAAAGGATATATCTTCTTGATGATAATGCTAATTTTCATATTTTGAATGAATAAAATGGGAATTTCGTTTTACCTTCTGCAGCGAATTCCTCAAATTCGTCATCTTCTTCTAAAGCTCCAAGTTGCGGTATTGTTTCCTTTAGTGGTTGTTGTTGCTGCTGCTGCTGTTGCTGTTGTTGCTTGTTATTGGAGTCCATTTTATCAGAAGTCTGATTTGTCGATGAGTTAGAGGCGGAACCCCCGGGATTAGAAGACATTTGCGTGATTATATGTATATTGAAGAAAAAATCTGTAAGAGTAATTAATTAGGACAATTTTTAGTTTGAAAGATTGTATTCCATCCCAAATAAATTGTGTACATTTTTGACAATATATCACAAATTCGCATGGAAGTGCGCCGAAAATTTCCATATGAGGAAAATAGTGCAACAATTCAACTGCTGCCTTTCGTGTTATCTTGAATTGCCCAAAGCCTATTGTGATTTGGGTCTTTCCAACGAACTAACTAATACTTCTACTATTATTATACTTTCTACGCTTTCCAACATGTCCTTTATATCTACAATTATCAATAACTGAATTGACTTTCTGTATTGGTTATTTTCTATTTCAGCGAAAAGTATTAATTATTTTCATTTTAAGCTATTTTTGTAAACCGTATTTCTCCTTCGGCGTTCTGTTGTAACCCCTTGTTGCTCGTTAATATTATCACTTGTATTTCCCATCCAATTCACATTTTTCCATCTCTAATTTATTTGTTGGGCTTCTTTGCCCGTCCTCGTTCACAAAAACAAATATTTGGTTTAATTACCAAAGACTACTACCAAAATGTCTGGAGGAAACATTAAAGTCGTGGTCAGATGTCGGCCTTTGAATTCCAGAGGTTAGATGCAAATTTATACTCTTTTATTGCCATGGTTTTCAATTTTTGCTGTACTGCTTGAGCTTTTATTGCCACTTAACTTATTCTCCCGAGTCATAATCTAAAACTAAAACGTATTATACTTGCAATGGCAATTATACAGAGCTTGCGCGGGGAGCAAAATCATTAATTAGAATGGAAGGGAATCAAACAATTATTTATAGGCCAGCTTCGGATGATCCCGGTAATGCCAAGGCTGCAAAACGAGAAGATACGGAAGAATTCAAAGCTTTCACTTTTGATAAGTCATATTGGTCTGCGGATAAAAGTTCTCCCAATTATGCAACTCAAGCGCATCTTTACAATGATCTCGGTGAAGAATTGCTCGATCATTCTTTCGACGGATATAATACCTGTATCTTTGCATGTAAGAATTGGAATAAACATGTTATATGAAGATAAATTTGTTGAATTTGTTGTTCATTTGCTTCAATTTAAATTTTACAGATGGCCAGACTGGTGCAGGGAAATCTTATTCTATGGTGAGTCACATGAGATTATTATTCCACAATTATAACAAGTAGCATTTAAAAATAAATAGTTACCTGACTTAAGAAATCTGAGTTTTTGATTGCGCGAATATATCTAAACTTCAAAAATTCTTCGACAACATGATAAATACGTTGAATCTAATTAAGTTTTATACTTTTTCAGATGGGTTACGGAGAAGACAAAGGAATTATACCTTTAACATGTTGCGAGTTATTTAACCGGATTACACGAAATACAGATCCAAATGTAAAATATCAAGTGGAAGTCTCGTATATTGAGATTTACAATGAACGGGTTCGGGATTTACTTAATCCAAAAAACAAAGATAAAAATCTTAAAGTGAGAGAACATCCTTCACTAGGACCATATGTTGAAGATTTATCGAAGTTAATTGTAAATTCTTTTCAAGATATAGAAAATCTTATGGACGAGGGTAATAAAGTAAGTGTTTCAAAACGTGATCAATTGCTAATGTATTTTAAACATAAAGAGAAATACTTATAATATCATTTTTCATGATGTATTTAGGCAAGAACAGTGGCAGCAACAAACATGAATGAAACATCAAGTCGTTCGCATGCTGTGTTCACGCTTTTATTGACGCAAAAGCGGCATGACCCCGAGACCAAAATGGATTCCGAGAAAGTTTCCCGTATTAGGTAGAGAGATATATACACATATAAATTTGTTTCACTTTATACTCGTGAATTTCTTTTTTAATAATTTTCAATTTTCAGTCTTGTTGATTTAGCGGGTTCTGAACGTGCTAATTCCACGGGTGCTACCGGTGCGCGTCTAAAAGAAGGTGCAAACATCAACAAATCGTTGACCACTCTAGGAAAGGTTATAGCCGCCTTGGCCGAGCAATCAGCCCCAGGCTCAAAAAAAGGAAAAAAAGGAGCGGAAACCTTTGTACCATATAGGGATTCTGTAAGATATCATTAATGAAATTATTGCAAATAAATATTCTAACTTGATTAAAATAATTAAATTTTGTATATATTATTTATCATTATCTGAAATATTTATCAACAGGTTTTAACATGGTTACTAAAAGACAGTCTTGGTGGAAATTCTAAAACCGCTATGATTGCAGCAATATCTCCCGCTGACTATGATGAAACATTAAGCACACTGCGATATGCAGACGCAGCAAAAAAGATTAAAAATAAAGCTGTTGTCAATGAAGATCCAAATGCTAAACTCATACGAGAACTTAAAGAAGAATTGGCTATGCTACGCAACAAAATTGGTATCACCGAAGGAGGTGGTGGAGGAGGACTTGCCGAGTCCGAAACTACATATGATCCTAGTATTCCTCCTTCGAAACAAGTTGTTCTCCTTCAAGATAAAGAAGGAAATACAATTAAGAAAACTAAGGAAGAAATTATTGAACAGATTGAAGCTTCACAAAAATTAATGACGGAGATCAATGAAACCTGGGAAGAGAAATTACGGCGAACTGAAGAGATTCAGAAAGAGCGGGAAAAGACATTAGAAGAGCTTGGTATAATGGTCGAGAAAAATGCCGTGGGAGTATCTCCCCCGAAAAAAGTACCTCATTTGGTTAATCTTAACGAAGATCCACTCATGTCGGAATGCCTGGTTTATCAGATTAAACAGGGGATCACACGTGTTGGACGCTTGGAATCTGATGTCCCCGCTGATATCCGGCTTAGCGGCGAAAACATATTAGAGGAGCATTGTTATTTTGAAAATAAAGAAGGCGTAGTTACTTTACATCCTAGTCCTAACAGTACTACGATGGTCAACGGAATCCGAATCAACAAGACTCGAAGACTTAAGTCTGGTTTCAGGATTATTTTGGGCGATTTCCATGTTTTCCGCTTTAATCATCCGGATGAAGTTAGAAAAGAACGTGCCAAGTCCAAAAATCTAAGCATTAGTATTAACACAAACATGATATCCAATGCTAATGGAGAAGAAAGTGGCAAAGCACCTGACTCACCCACATCAACAGCTTCTATACTGTCAGAGGCGGTCATAGATTGGAACTATGCAAAAAGAGAAGCGGCAATGAATTATTTGAATTTTGGACCCGAGCTTGTTGGAAACATGCCGGATGAAGAGTTAACAAGATTGATGGAAGAGATACGAAAAATTCAAGGGACTCGAAGAACTCGTCCAGATAGCCGGAGTGGCGACTTTGACGACGACACGGAATCACGTTCTTCTGACAAACCTGGATCAAATGGAACATATGAGACTAACGATACTGTTTACACGACAGATTCGCCTCAAAGTGACACGGACGAGAAGCTTCGAACAATTAAGGAAGAGATGCAAATGCAACTAGATCTTCAAAAACAAGAGTACGAAGAAAAAATGCGTCTAATAGAGGCCTCAAATCTTGAAGCTGACGAACTAAAAGCAGAGAAGAAACAAATGGAAGAAAAACTTAAAATGCTTCAAGGAGAAATGCAACGAGTTTTGGAAGTACAAGCGCTAGAATATCAACGAAAGCTAAAAAGACTCTCAACTGCCAATCTCGAGGGTTTCCAATTACCTCTCGATATTCCACCCTATACAGAAGAGGAACTTCAATTAATTCATATGGTCATAAAGAAATGGAAACGACAACGATTCGTTCATATGGCTGAAACAATATTAAGCAATGCTGTTGTTTTAAAGGAAGCGAACGTTATAAGCAAAGAACTTGGTAAAAAAGTTCTTTATCAATTTACTATTATTGAAGAGGAACCATTTACGAATCCTGTTTCATTTTATGAGAACAGATCAGCTACCAGTCAGTTAAATAACATTAATGGCAATAATAACGAGAAAGATATAGCTATTTTCGTAAATGGATCCACCGAGGATACTTCCCTTTATGCCTCAAAGAAACCATGCGTTGGTGTTAAAGTGATCGACACAAAAAACAACACAGTCTATATATGGTCTTTAGATAAACTGAAAAATAATCTCCAAAAGATGCGCAATTTGTACAACTTTATAGATCGTCCTCAATATAGTAAACATTTTAATTGGGAGGATCCATTCTATGAAAATCCACCACCTCAGTTCACATTTATTGGAAGTGCTGCTATTGGGTTGACCTGTTTACTTTGGAAAACGGAACATGAACAAGAAGTTCCCGTTTTCCAAAGATATTCAGGTAAAGAACTGGGGTCATGTCTAATACGTATCAAATTTTTAAGTGAATCAAAAGCTTCGTCACCACTAGAATCGGAAAGTGAATCCACCACTTCTAAATTGTCAGTCGGAAGTTCTGTAGTATTTGAGGTGAAGATAATCGAACTTAAAGGAATCCCGGAATCAGAATTTACCCAAGTTCATGTTCAATTTAAGCTCTCCTCATTTGGAACTATTCCTCATCTTTCTCCTGGAGAACACATTTACACAACTGATCTAATGAGTGAATTTGGCGATACACCAATTCGATTCAATTACGAACAAACTTTATCGGTGGCAGTCACTCCTGAAATGATGAATGTTCTCACTAATGGTATGCTGACTTTCGAGGTGTTTGGACGTGCGGAACCGGCAGTTTTGACATTCATGGAAAGATGGGACGACCCAAATGAGCGTCAGAATCACAAAGGAATAAATGGAAATTCTCATGAATCAACGCCACGAGAGCGAAGATCTGACGACGAACTTGTAGCCGAAGAAAAACATGACATCGTTGCATGGGTTAAAGTATGTGAATTAGCACCTTCTGGTGATTATGTACCAGTTCAAGTACTTTCGCAGAATACACTTGATCCTGGCGCCTTTTTCTTGAGACAAGGTCTACAACGACGTATTATTCTCACATTAACTCATAATTCTGGTCATCAATTCCCATGGAATCGAGTGACAAGAATGGAAATTGGACGAGTTCGATTGCTTGACGGAAAAGGAAGATTGGCCGAATCTCCTGTTCAAAACGATATTGAAATGAAAATGCTACCATCGCAAACAGTACAATTTAACGGCGATGGCACAAGCGTCCTCAGCGCTCAAGCCTCATGGGATAGTACTTTACATGATTCCATATTCCTCAACCGAACAACAGACTCGAAAAGTCGAGTTCTATTGGGATTAACTTGGTATGTGGAGGCAGAGAAATGCGTGGAACCAATTTGCTTCAGCATGGATATTGCTGTGCAAATCCAGGGACGAGAAGCACGACCTCCGTCAAAACTAATTCAATTATTAAACCAATCAAAAGTCTTGTGGAAATCAAGTGGACTTTTCTCTGTTACGCTCAAACCTCCAATGACTCGAAAAATATCCGAACTTTGGCGCTTAAACACTGCGTCAAAGTATGTTCGTGGTGAAGAATTCTTGGGTAGTTGGAAACCACGTGGCATCTCTTTAATCAAGGACTTTAAAAAAATTAATGAGTGCATACAGAAACGTGAATCTGTTGAGTTCACGAAACAGGTTATTAAATTACGTGAAATTTGTCAAAGCGCCAACGGCAGTAAACATGTGTTTGGCACTTCAGATCCAGAAGAACTCGTTAAAAGAACGTATGATTTGTGGATAAAAAAATGGGGGACCTCTAAAGAGGTTTAAAGATTAATTTATTGTTGTATTTGATTTTGTTGATACTCTTTCGTTGGTATGTGTGGTGTTAATCAATTAATATATATTTCAATTATAATTAGATCGTCATAAATCAAGAACCTCCGCTTTCTGGGCCATATCCAGATGCTGAAATCAACAGATACGTTAAAACGCCGACAAAATTAGTTGCTCAAGTTAGAATGGTTGGAAAAACGTAAGCTTTCCATTTCTCTTACATATTTTATTTTTATAGAAACAGCTAAATTTTCAATATTTATTCATTACAGTGATACTATAACAAAAAAAGGCTATTTGTATTCACCCGAAAATGCTTATGCTGATTGGGTGAAACGGTGGTATGTTTTACGAAGGTAAGGACTCTCATGATTCCGTGGATATAATAACAACCTATTTGATTTTTAGCTATTAGATAAATCAATAATAAAAATTTTTTTTCCTATTAGACCATATTTATTTATATATGAATCACAAAAAGAAACAGAAGAGCAAGGGGTGGTCAACTTAACATCTGTTCGGGTCGACTATAAAAAAGATGTGGAGCTAATTTTAGAGGTAGATCAATCATTTATCTTTTTTGTCATTATTTTTCTGTTCGTTGCTTTTGGACAATTTATGTATTCGACTTATTTTTTTTATTGAATTGTTAGCGAAAATTTGTGTTTTCCATTTTCACAAATAATAATTCGTATGTTCTGCAAGCATCTTCTAAACAGGATATGATCGATTGGATATCGAAGGTATTTTTTTTAAATAATTCGGCGATCGCATCAATTACACAACACATACCAATTAACATTATACATTCTGTCTTATCAGATCGACCAATTTTTCAACTTAGAAGACGTAGAAGCTAGCAAAAATCAGAAAGTCACTACACAAAACTAAAAAGACGGGATATATATATATATATATATATACATACATATATACAAACTTGATTTTTATTAATTGTGGAGGGGAATCGATGTGGCGAACTTTTATATTACCGCCACCAACTACCTATTACTATTAGGTAAAAAATTTGTATCTATGGCCTTGAAATAAGCCTGTGTAAATTAGTTTATTAGCACATAGAATTATTATTATATGTTTTATATAAATAAATTATACTATATATAATGTTTTTTTTATTTACGCAGAGTTGCGTGTCAGTTATATTTTATGTACACGCAAAATATGACCATCATTATAATCATTCTTTTTTCTTCATCTCATCCACTGCATTCCAATAAATAAGCATTTGCAAAGCCAAAACAGCATTAAAAATTGCTGCCAAGCTAAACCCAATCAAAATAATCGAATCATTAACTTCGGTAACAGTAGTGAAAATCCGAGCTATCGATCCAAGAGTATATCCAAACACCGCAAACGCAGAAAGCTGTCCAGTGCTCCCATTCTCGTAATTCTTTACGATCTGTGGAATCTTTGAAGCTAATGACAACGGAATCGTGCATGTCTGTAAAATGGCCAAAAAGGATTCATTGATCAGTGACGGCGAACCTAATGCGTAACTCATTCCAACGATAGACAAGATGGCAACGACGAGATGATCCTTTTGTCCTCGATAATTCAAAATTAACAAAAGAATGATTATATCTTGTATTGTCAAGAACAAGTTCTCTCCATATGTGCTGAACGGGTTGCCCTGTCGGAAATTGTAGGCTAGTCCTACTGCATACGCTATTGTCTCGAGCACATAGCTTTCGAAACTTAGTCCGCGTGCTGAACCATTAGCAATAATCTTTAAAACTTGTGGTAGCTTTATTAGTGAGCCGCCCAGCACAATACCGATTCCGAGTGCTTTAGAGAATACTAGTTTTACACATTGTGTGTCGTTAAGATTGAGGTTTGTGATAAGCGAATTGTAGCACCTTTCACCGATGAGGGCCAAAGCTGGTTCTTGAATGAAAGATGGAAGAATCATTTTTAATGATGGGCAAAACTATACGTACAACTATGCGTAAGTATTGTACGCATAGTCCGAGCGCATGGGCGCAGTCATCAACCCGATGTTCTCACGAATTATCACCATCAATTAAGACGAGTGTAACTTTGTATAAATTGTGAAATGTCTTCTCGAAGCACTATATGGAGCATTTTAAATAAATTGGTCCTTCAACAATAAGCAGAATGTAATTACTGTGAAAATCCCAAGTATCAATGTGTTAATTCTGTAATTCGATGTATGTCACATTGGGGTGTGCGATCATTGTTATCGTTATTATTATCATATAATAATTATCGTTATTACTTATTAAAAAGATTTGAAGCAATATTGGGTCCAAATTGCAATGGGTTTTTTCGATTTACTTTTAGTTCTCCCTTCTAATAATTTTCTTACTAATGTTGCTTGAGAACAAATAAAGCTTTGACTATTTAAGTGGCAATGACATGTTGGAATGTGTTTTAAGACCAATATGTTAAAAAGATCTACTTGCTGTTGATGTATGATAGATACGAGTTTTGATAAAAGAATAGAATTTGCATATTGATAAGTTATTATTCATACAAAACTGTTCAAATTGAAAAAGTCATCGTTTTGTAATAGTAATTTATGTAAATCAAAGCTATCAGTTTTCTATTTTTTAAATCATCTTTTAATTCTTTTGAGATACATAATTCCAAATTATTTAGTGATTTGATTCAAGATTTCTTCAAGATGATGTAATAAAAACTAAATGCAAAAGATCTAGTATTATTATTACCAAGATGACAAACAACTAGTAAAAGATGAAGCCAAAATAATAGTTACTTTTCAAAATGATTCAAGACTTTAATAATTTCTTTTTCAAATTTCTTGCTAGACAAATTATCTAATATTTCTAATAGCTCATTAGTGTAATATCTTGAAGAAATTTATATTACTTATGAATTTTATCAGATATTTCATAAGCTTATCAATCTGAAAATAGATTAATAAGTTGATTTTTAATAAATATATAAAATCTTATCTTATCAATATTAATAATAATAGAAGTATTTAACAAAATTTATTAAATATTTATTTTAAATATTGTAACCAATCACCTATTCATGTGGCGCAGTAATCGCCGATCACTACTAAATTGGACAAATAAGAAATTTATATTAATTAATCTTATTTATTATTAATTCTATTTTTAGCTTATATTATTATTCATATTTAGTTTTATTCATTTATTAATTTAGCTATATGTGTTATACTTAATTTATAGTTTTATTAAATTAATAATTACTTAATTAATTATTATTAATTTTTCTTTCTTTTCTCACTTTAGTTTTAAATAACTTAATATTTTGCTAATTTTAATTCTTTATTATTATGTATTTAATATTTTTTATAATTATTCTTTTTAAATTCTACTTATTCTTAAGTAAATTAAGTAAAATATTATATTAGAAATAATTTATAATTAGTATAGTAAGAAAATATTATATATTATAACTAATCACTTATTTATATAGTACAGTAAATATAATATAGTATATAGTGCAGCTATAGCACATGATGTAATAATTACCAATTACTATTAAATCAGGTAAATAAGTAATTTTTATTAATTAATCTTATTTATAATTAATTCTATTTTTAATTTATATTATTACTCA